AATTTTTACCAGTTACAGTGGGTCAAGAAAAGAATCACCCCCTTTAAAATAATCACATTAATTTGCTTTGAAGACTGACACAGTTTTTGTTTTATCCAGCTGTATTTACTCAGTGCAACTTATAACATCCAAGTGAATGATATAATACCAACATGTCAGAAAAAAAATATAAAAAAACAGAATCAAGGAGTTGGAAAAAGGATCACCCCCTCCTAAATGACGTGTACACTCAATCAGGTGTAGCTAATCACCTTCTCAATGGCACACAAAGCCATTTGACTTTCAACTATGATCAGCTGTGGTTATGTTGATTAGCTCAGCATGAAAAGAGCTTTCCTGGAGCATTTCAGTCCTTGGTAGTGCATCTGAAGCAAACAATCAACTATGGGTGGCAAGGCACTGTCAAAAGATCTCCGGGATAAAGTTGTGGACTGGCACAAGTCAGGAGATGGATACAAAAAAATGTAAAGGCTTTATCAATGTCTAGAAGCACAGTGAAATCTATTATTAAGAAGTGGAAGGTGTTCGGTACAACACACAGACCCTCCCTGTATCAGGACGACGCTCCAAACTGGATGAAAGAGCCAGGAGGAAACCACTCAGAGAGGCTATCAAGAGGCCTACAGCAACTCTGAAGCAGTTGCAGGAATTTATGACAGAGTGGTCATTGTGTGCATGCGACAACAATATCACAAATTCTCCACAAATGTGGCTTATATGGGAGGGTTGCAAGAAAAAAAAGTCACTCCTCAAAGGCCACATGCAGTCACGACTGAGTTTTGCCAAAATGCACCTTGAAGATTCTGAGGCAGATGAGACTAAAATTGAATTATTTGGCCTCAACACCCAAGCATATGTTTGTTGGAAATCCAATACAGCTCACCATCCAAATAACAGCATTCCTACAGTGAAGCACGGAAGGTGGTAATATCCTGTTATGGGTGTGTCAGGACGGAAGGAAAAATGGATTGGGCAAAATACCATCAAATTCTTGCCAGAAAGTTGTCAATGGGAAGGTTTACTTTCCAACATGACAATGACCCAAAGCACACAACAAAACTGAGCACACCGTGGTTGAAGGGGAAAAAGGTGAATGTCCTTGCATGGCCCAGTCAGAGCCCAGACTTAAACCCCACTGAAAATCTGTGGAATGACTTGAAGACTGCAGTCCACAAACGCTCACCATCAAATTTAACTGAACTTGAGCAGTTCTGCAAATAAGAGCAAATATTGCAGTCTAGATGTGCAAAGTTAGTAGAGACACATCCCAACAGACTAAAGGCCGTAATTAAATCAAAAGGATCAACAAAATACTGACACAAGGGGGTGGTCCTTTTTCCAACTCTGTGATTTATTTTTTCTGACATGTTTGTATTATATCATTCACTTGGATGTTATAAGTTGCACTGAGTAAATACAGCTGGATAAAACAAAAACTGTGTCTGTCTACAAAGCAACAAAATGTGATTATTTTAAAGGGGGTGATTCTTTTCCATACCTACTGTATTACTCTGGTCCTCAGTGTCACATGATCCTTCAGAAATCATTCTAACATGCTGATTTGTCAGTCAAGAAATATTCCGGATTCTTTGATGAATAAAAAGTTCAAAAGAACAGCATTTATTTGAAATAGAAATCTTTCATAACATTTAATGTCTTTTTACTTTAATTTTTGAACAAATTGTCCCGTGTTTTTCGGGGTGGAGGCTGGCCTGACCGCAGTGGGCAGGGACACCGGCAAAGGATAAGTATCGCTTTTTATTTCTCCTCTTTAATCTCTTTATTTTTAAAATGTGTACAGGTAGTATTTATAAAGTTTTAGCTTTGGATCTGTTTTTAGTTGTTTTAATACTACAATTGATTGCTTCTGTTGTCCTCATTTGTAAGTCGCTTTGGATAAAAGCGTCTAATAAATGACTAAATAAATAATAAATTAATGCATCCTTGCTAAGCAAAAGTATTCATTTCTTACCATCCCCAATTTTTAGAAAGGAATTGTTTGGGATGTCTGTTTACATACTCGAGGGCCTCTCTCGTTGTCTTTCTCGGCCTGACGTCTCATCTGCTCTAGAGCTACATGGGTGTTGAGATACAGCAGCATGGGTGTATCTTTGGAGATATAAGCCACCTATATTTATGGCAGAAAGACATGTTTGAATTGATTTAGCATTCCATGTCATTATTATAGACATCCACTGACATTCTTTTAACCTCTCTCACCTCCGTCTTGCCTGAAAGCGACACACTGCAGCCTTGCCAGGTGAAAACAGCAATCTTAGAGCCTGGTCCGAATGTGTACTTCTTATTCCGGTTCAGTTCGGATCCAAACACCTCTGCCAGACCGGACAACAGCTCGAGCTGTACTCGCTCTCCTGCTTCGACCTCAAAACGCAGTTCTGTCTCTCTCTCCAGATCAAATCGTGTACCTGAAGTCCCAGCACTGCCTGACGAACTCAGGCCCTCCTCCGCTGACTTTTCTGGGGCTTCTGCAGTCATGGCTGTGATAGAAAAATTGGATGTTCAAAAACGGCTATATAGCTAGGTACTTGTATTCGTAAAGATGAGGAAAATAACAAATTATTGTGCTATACCTGTTTGAACTTGTCCCCTCTGTGATTTATCTCGGCAAATACCGTGTTTTATTTCAATTTTGTCAAATAAAGTATTGTTCCGGTAGTATTAGCTTGTTAACGTTAGCCTGTTGAATATAGTTATAAATAGATGGAGGTCGGGCAGATAATATTATTTAATATACCGTAACATGTCTAGGCTCTTCCAAACATCCGCTGTTTAAACTTCGTCTTGTTATTTGGAAACTGTCCCTGCGTTCTTCACAGCAGCGACTCCACACTGATGATGTCGTGTCGCGCGTAGATGATGTCATACAATGGTTGGCCAATGACCAAGATCCTCTCAACATGCAGTTGACGGTGTACAGTTATGGTTATTTACTGTATTGTAAATAATGTACGTATTTTGATTCTGAAATTGTGTGAATTTTTGAACAATAAGACTAAGTTTACTAAACGTATTATACATAATCTGCATGTGTTGACGTTTCCCCCCGTCTTTATTTTATTTATTTATTTTTTTTATGTTTGTTTGTTCGGTACCTGTGACTCATATTTCGTTGTTCTTCAATAAAAACAAAGAATAAACAGATCAAACATGGATTTGCTTGTTGTTGTTGTTTTTTTAATGCTATGCTGTCAAGTTTTTCCAGTGCTATACTGTCTGGCATAAAAGTAAAACAAGAAACTTTTTTTTTTTTTTTGTTGAAGATATTATTGTATTCATTATTTTTTTCAGGATAATAATGTGAATTTAAGTGGAACTACAGTTGTTTATTTATGATCTGGTACTGTAGGCAGTAGGGTGAAAAATGGGAATGATTCTGAGCTGCACAATTATTTCTACTGCCTGTGGTAAAAAGCTAGTCCATATCAGTAGCATTTTTAACATGCACAGCATGTTCTCTTGACACATCAACATATGTGTTTTCTTATGTAAGATATAAAAATGGTAAAATCATAGTACATATTTACAATGAATAATATGCTGTTTGAGATGAAAGTGCTTAAATAAAACTCGTATTTTCTCTCACTATTTGCAACATTTTGTTGGAGTGAATGAACATCTATGTGAAGATGCACTGAAAAAAATGTAAGGAATTAGGTCTTCTATTTTGTTACTTGCTGGCTGAAATATTCATCAGAAATATGAAGTAGTGTCAACCCCAAGTTCACCCATTTTAGAAATAAAATAGCAAAATTGTTAAAATGTCAAAAATAAACCTTAAAATTTAAACAAAACAGGAAAAAACAAGAAAGCCAGGAAGACTGTAGAAGATTTGTTTAATGAATGTGTTCCAATGTAATGTCGGTTTATTTATTTTATTTATATTCTTTATGTATTTTATGCATTTATATTCTTTATGTATTGTGCTAATATGTTGTAACTTCCCAATACAAATGTTGGAGGTATGTATGTGTAGGCCTATGCTTTGTCTTAGATTTGTGAAGTTTTTTTTAAATTGCAAAACATAATAAAACATACCACAGTTATATAAATATAAAAACTTAAATCAACTCAAAATCTATTAGTAATGCTATACATTATAAAAAAATTAGTGGTTTCTATGTATGATTTTAGCATTCCAATTAAAATATTTATTAATTGTAGTTTCTGTTTGTGATTTATTACAGGACTGATGACCTAATCATATCAGAGCTGTTGGCTTACGGCAACTCAGGTTCGAATCCGTCCTGAATCATTTCCAGACCCCATTCCCCCTCTTTCCTGTCTGTCTCTACTGTCCTATCCAAAAACAAGGCCAAAAAAAAAAAAGAAGAAAAAAAGAAGGTAAACAGGTGAGGTGAGTGATCAGGTAAGTATAATTTTAGCATTCCAATTAAATTATACATTTATTAATTTTAGTTTCTGTTTGTGCTTTATTACAGGAATGATGGCCTAATCATATCAGAGCTGTTGGCTGACGTTGACTCGATTCTGGCCAGGGTAATTTCCTGACCCCATTCCCCTTCTTTCCCTCAATTTCCAGTCTGTCTCTGCTGTCCTATCCTATACTGCTTCAAGCATTTAGAATTGTACTGTACTGTATACTGTACTGTATGTTACCACAAATTAAAAGTTTAAACAAAATTTATTTATTTTTAAGTCTGTACATTAAAGTATGCTGTATAGAAACTAACTCTGATCTTGAAAAAAAAAATATAAAGGAAAGCCAGGGCTAGTTTTATCATTTCCTAGTTTTCTGTTTTATTCACAGGTACAGTATTGTAAAATTGCTAATAAATAAATAAATGTATGTATTTATTTATTTTTTTTCCCATTTTTATATAGGCTATTTTGTAGTTCTTAAATTAAAACATGTCTAGGCAGTGTAACTCTTCTCATTATCTATCATACTGAAACAATGACATAATCCATGATACCCCTATACCAGGACATTTTTAGTATTTTACACGCCAACTTCAAAAATGGCTTTTGTGAGACTGCAAAGACTTGGACTGTGATAGTCCTTCATATAATAGACAAGAAACTTTCCACACCAAAAGGTGGCACTGTCAGTCTGGCTTACTTTCTTTTTTTCAACATAACCCGCCAACCTCTCCGCGCGTCTTATGTGATGTAGCAATGGCGACTCGAGCCAAATCAGGTGCGTATAACACACGTTTGGAAACTTCCATGTAGTAGCAGTAGTCGATTACGTAATGAGTTTCTAATGCTAACCAGTTATTTATGAAATATCCTTAGTAGCCTTATATATATATATATAT